GATATGAAAGCCACACACACTCAATAGAAACCATAATTTTATTTTTGAATTTTATTCTTTTCTAGGAGCAGCAATATTCTGTATGATGCTTTTGTAATTCTGAGCAATGATACTCTACAATATACTATCTTTTAGTATTTTTTGATTGCAAATATTCAATAAACTATATGAAATATCTAATAATTATAAAAGAGGCTTTGTGTTGGATGAGTTTGCCCAACTGTAGGCTAATGGAAATTTCCTGAGCATGTTTAGGGTAGACCAGGGTAAGTTTAGACTAAGCTCTGAGGTTTTCAACTTATAATATTTTTAAATTTGCAGTGAGTTTATTGAGAAGTAATCTGGCCATAAACGGAGGAATCTCCTCCCTGGTGTCTGGTTATTGGTGTTTTCTCTGGGGATGCTCTGAGAGAAGAGCCATGTCTGCGCCTCTATCTCAGGGAAACTGGGTGGGTTTTAGCAGCATGTGAGCGTGATCTCATTTTTGGATCTCCTTTTGCATCCAAGTCGGTAAAGCCCGAACTATGAGGAAGAACAGGATATGCAACCTGTCTTTCCTGGCCACCTAGTTAGCATCCATACAGAAGAGAGAAAAATCTGGTTTTATTAGGATTTAGCAACAATAAACAGGAGTGGCTCAGGATGAGGCATGAACCCATCCTGTGTTTCTTTTAAAGTGAACTTGGTAGAAGGCGGGGAGAAAAGGGCACCTGCCTTATTGAAACAAGAGTGAAATAATATAAAGCTTTTCTTGGTCAGGGGAGTGCTTGGTGATCTTTCTGTTTGAAATTCTTTTGCACTTATTGTCCTCAACATACAATTTAACCCTTAATTATAATCATGTCACGCTGTTTGATTTCAAGCATGTTATTCATGTTGCTGCAAAGTGATTCAGACTGGGAGTCGAGAAATTCAATGGCTTTAATAATCATACCATATATTAAATTATGTAGTCAGTTGTATTTGAAAACTGGGTCACTCGATAGTGTCTAAAATTAACTTAGTTTGTTGCAAAGAAACATTAGTGTTACTGTTTCTTTTTTGTAAGAATCCTTTTCTAATTAATTAATTATTTATTTTTTTGGTACCAGGAATAGAATTCAGGACCTTATACTTGCCAGGCAGGCGCTTATGCCATTGAGCTATATCCCTGGCCCTATGAGATTCCTTTTGGTTTGTCTTTATTTATTTATTTACTTTTTTGGTTTTGGTTTTTCTCCGGTACCAGGAACCGAACTCATGGCCTTGCACTTGCCAGGCAGGCGCTTTGCCGCTGAGCTAAATCCCCAGCCCCTCCTTTTGGTTTGTCTTATACTCTGAGTAACTACTTTGAAGATAACAATATAAAGTGTGATAACTATTAGTATTCTCTTATTTGATTATAAACATTTGATTTTTTTCATAAAATAAACCAAATTTTTAAAAACCAGATCCTTACTTAATATGACATTCAAAGTTACGTTAAATGTACAATTCAAGGTACATTAAAGACAATATAAAAAGTAAAAATATAAAAGTAATAGAAAAAAAATACCTATTTTATGAATTACAAGGAGAAAAAGACTTCTTTAAAACCTTTGAAAATAATTATAAGGCAAAGAACTGAATATGTTTACTTTGGCATTATGAATTTCTGTTTTATGGTAAATATTATAAGACATGGATAAGTAAACTGTCTAAAGCAGTGCACTATTAATATCTTGAATATATACATAAGAAACTCCTACAAAGCAATTAAATAAAACAAAAGATGGTGAATGGGAAAACAAGTGAAGACTATACAGGTGATTTACAGAAACAAAAGTCTAAAAGGCTAGTAAATGTAGGTAATGATGCACAAACTAGCTCATTGGAAAAATGCAAATTCAATCATGAGTAAGATACTATTTTGTGCATATTACTAGGCTGTCAAATAATAGTAAGCAAGCAAAAAAAAAAGCCAAATACTACCAAATGCTGTGGACTGAATGCTTTTGTAATCTCCAGATTCATATTTTGAGATCCTGTCCCCCCAGGTGATAAAGGAGTTGCGGTCTGGGGATATAATTTGGTCATGAAGACAGGAAGGAGGTGTCCTATGGTCCAGGAAGTAGGCTTTACCAAACACCCAACCTGCTGGTGCCTTCTTCCAGGACTTCTGAGACTCCAGGACCATTCGAAATAAATGTTTGTTGTTCAAGTCACCCTCTTGTGATACCTTTGCTACAGCATCCAGAAAAGACAAATCACCCAGTGAGAAACTGAAATGGGTGAGCACAGTTGGTTCAACTATTCTGAAAAGCAATCCTGCACCACTTAGTCAGATGAAGTATCTGCATGTACAGTGACCCAGTAATTTGCTTCTGGAAGCACTTGCTTAGGGCCATAAAGGGATAAGTAGGAGTCTGCTTATGGCAGCATTTCTTGGGCTGGCAGGCATTTAATGCGGGTAGAATGTAGCTGATATAAACTATGACATATCATGTAGCAGTTAAGTAACAAATCAGAAGTACGCTTTTCAACATGGATAGATCTTTACACGGTAGTTCTGAGTAAAATAGAAGATGTAATAAAAATGATTTATACCCGGAGATAAGTTTAAAGCATGTGCACATAAAACAGAATATATTTTTGCAAGGATCAATATAAACAAAAGAATACTCATGAAACATTGCATGGTGCTTGTAGGGGCAGCAACAGCCTTAGTTATGCAGACAGTGGAAAAGAAAGGCATAAGGACATCCAGTGAAAGGCTTTGTGCATAGCCCTGATGGGAACATAGAATCCTATAACTCAGCTTTGACGCCTGAGGTACCTGCATTCCCAGCAACACGCACTTAACTGAAACTTAAACGTCTCCTTTCAGACACAATTTCTGTTCCGGATGCACCTTTAGGTTTCTCAATATTTCTTTTAAGACCCATGGCATCCCGGGCTATTTAATTAAGTGAAGACACATTTCTCAGTTAACTTAAAACAACAATGCTCTGTCTAAAACGGACGCAAAACAGATTCAGAGTTTCTCAATAAAGTAAACCATTTCTATTGATTCAGACAATTTATCTTTTAACTAAGGCAGGCTTTCTTTTGCTTTTTGTTTCTCTTTTCATTTTCTTTTCTCATGAGGAGGTTCTGGGGGCTCACTTAGGATAAGAGGCGTACAGGCGGCATAGGGATATACGCAGGAAGCATTCCTCAAGAACTGATCGCGAATGCCGTTTTCCAAGGCACTCTGGCTATTAAAGGATGTGAGGGTGTACATCAGTGAATAAACATTAACTCTTGGTCAACGCACGAGGGTAAAGACGGAAAGAAACACACAACTTCCTGTTAACTGAAAACAGAGGTTATAAGCCCAACCCGTGCTGTTATTGTAAGTATGTTGCAAGTGGGTATTCTGTGGCCAAGGAGCAGATCAGGACCTTGAAAAAATTACAACTGATCTGAGAGAGAAAGAAAACGATTTAGGAAACTTGTTTTGACTAAAATAAGGCCTTAAAATCTGTCTTTCTTTCTGTTTAAAATAACTTCACTTCTGTGCTTCCTCAAAGCTAATCTGGACTGTTTGTAAGTGAGGATTCGTGGGCGCCAGGGCAGAATATTAAGCAATTGCATGTGTTTGTTTTTCCTTTGGAAGGAAGGTCTACATTTTAGCTGTGACAAAGTTGTTAGCTTTTAACTTAAGCACTATATGATTACTCTTTTGTCTTTATAATATATTTGCAATATAAAATAAGTATTTTTGTCTTTTTGTATTTTAAAAGTACTCTAAATCTTAAAATGTGATGTTTTACCAAAAAAAATGGTCTCATAGATAACAAGTTCCGGTATAAGTAGGATTTTTTTTGGTTGTTTTGGGACTGGGTCTCTCTATGTAGTTCAGGCTGGCCTTGGATGCCCTATGTGGTCCAAGCTGGCCTCGAACTCACAGGGATGCTCATGCCTCAGCCTGCCAAGTGCTGGCATTACAGGCATGTACCATCACGCCAGCATGAAGTGGGCTTTTTTACTATGTAATTATTGTGCTGGATTTGGGGAAGTAGTGGGTTAGGGTATCTTAGACTCAATTCTCTCGTCTTTAAATGAGATGTCTGCTTCCACAATTTAGCTATTACAAGTTATGCTGCTATAAACATGGGTGCACATATATCACTGTGATGTTTTTAGTTCTTCTTGTCGTGGAAGCAACCCAAATGCCCATCAACTGAGGAATGGATAAAAAAGATGTGGTATTTTTATATAATGGAATATTACTCAGCTACAAAGAAAGATAAATGAGGCTTTTATAGATAAATGGATAAAACTAGAGACCATACTCATAAGTGTAATAAATCAGACCCACATGTGTAAATACTGTATTGTCTCACTAGTGTAAGAACTTGAAAAACTAAATAATAACTAAAAAGTACGATAGATATGAAAGGGAAAGAAATTGCTCAAAAGGAAAGATGAGAGAAAAAAGAAAAGAAAGAAGGGAAAATATGTATATATGTATACACAAGACAGCTAAGATAATTGTACTACTGATTTCTATTGCTTTATTGAAAGGAACAGTTAATGTTTAGTTGTTTGATCAATCTTACATGCCTATATTTGTTTAAGTGAGTAACCAATTTGAAGATAACAATATGTAACACAACAACCATTATTAATTTCCTATCTCTTTGTCTGAAATTCTGTATTGCTTCTATTATTTTGGTGTGGTTTTGTTTATGACTGTTTGTTAGTGTGTTTTCATTCTTTTATCTTTAAAATAAAAAAATAATAAATGAGATGCTGGAGTTCGGAAATGCTATGTATCAGAACCATCCATTTTTAGACAGACAAACTCCTTGTTCCTCTGTTTTCACTTATTCAGCTCATCAGCACTGATTTCACAGGTTTGGGAGGTCCTAGAACTCTGTAAGGTGATTTTATGAGAGCAGTCTGAAAAATCACATATTTGGATTTAAGGGAAATGATCCCCCAAATTCCTTCCACTTGCATTTTTTATGACAAAGAAGCATTTTTGTCCAACTTACCAAATTTTCACTCATCTCCTGTAGGTCCTTAAACTGGTATGTGCTCTTTTGTCCATTATTGCTGCTGGTGAGGAGATCTGAGATTGTAAAGGTGCCATGATAATATTCCGTTTTCTCACCTGTGAGGAGAACAGGAAGTAAAAGGTGATGTGATCTGGGTAAAGATTTCATGATCTAAGACATAATGGGGCCAATGTTAAGTCTTAACTATATACCGAACATTTTTATGATTGAGTTTCATAAAAACGTAGATGAACAAGGGACACCTTGGCTTTAAGTAACTTGCTCTGCGTTGTACAACTACAGGCGCCTGGGTAACATTTTGAGCCCTAACAGTCTGGCCCTGGAGCTTGGACTTTCAGCACTTCATTGCTCCTTGCTGAGTTGAAATCTAAAGACCAGCTAAAAGCAAAGGCAAATGAACGTCTTTGTAAATCTTGACTTGTAATGAGAGAACCCAGGCACATGTAAAAGATGCAAGACAGGAAAGGCTAGGGGGAAGTTCTCTGAGGTGGCGAGTGGGAATAGTGTGCAACATGGGTCAGTGCATCAGGCTCTGCTTGGCTATGAGGCAAGGCTGGAAAAGAGAGCAGCGGAGGTCCCTGCGGGATCTGGAGCTCTTAGCGGTGACACTCAGGAGGAAAAGAGGCACACAGTGAGCTGAGAACGGAGAGCAGAGCCACCATGAAGCAAGCTGGGCCCTGGGCCTTAGGCAGCTTGGTTGGAAGAAGTGGCTTTCTTGATTACGCAGCAAAGCAGTAGGAGCCACAGGATGAGGATCTTCTAAACTAAACGTCTCTGGACCTTATAATGCTATTTTTGTCCCAATAAATCTTTCCCACCATCAAATTTTATTCTTATAGTAAAAGGAGTTTTTTTTTTTTTTACAATGACATGAACTGGTCTGAGTATCTCTTGCCATTGGTGTAAACTATAGGTGAGGCTGTCTTATGGAGCCCAGGAATATAGCCTTGAATTCTGTTCCCCTCCTAAAACAGGGATCAGTCGCTCACTTACGAAGTCTGTGGAGGATGACAACATGTAAGATTCCGGTAAGCAGCCTGAGCTAGTCATTTTAATACATGTATCCACACAAGAATGACATTGTGAGGGGTTTGTCCAAAAATGCAAGTGGTTTGTACTCTGCACAAACATACGAATTATCAAAAGGGAGAATTTCAAAATGCATTATTCATGTAATTATAAATATATTAGGAAATAAAATATAATACTGAATATTGTTTTGGAAAGAGTAAAGTATTTTTTCTCTAAAAAAGTGATACTGAGGTGTTGCATTTATTGCTTGTCCATCATTTTGAAATTCACTAGACTTGCTTTTCTTTTGTCCTAGAAATGCTGCTAAAAGACCTAGAATTGGTTTTCAAGGGCCACTTTTAATAACTAATTTTTTAGTTTTTTTATTTCAATATATAACAAGTGATAAGACTTTTTTACTACAAATTCTACTAGTAAATTTTAGACAATGACTATTTTCAATATTTGATGTAGATTCTTAAAAGAATACTAGATTTGGATCCCTATGGAGATAGGAAATATTCTGCTTTGCTTAATGCAATACTCTGAGTACTCAGAAAAGTATTTGTATATGATAGAAATTTTGTGGTGAAATGACAGAATATAGGATAAAATTTTCTGAATGGAGCCAGTCACAAGTAAGAGTACATTTTCTTCTACATGTGTGAAAATGAAGCTTTGGGGAAAAATAACATCAAACCGAGTAAAACGCCTCATTTTACCTACCAGAGATTAAGAAGCGAGCCAGGAGACCAAGGGTCACCCCCACCAGGATCAGTGACAACAGAATGGGAAGGGCAATCATCCACGGCTTCAGGGCTCGGTTTGGGGGTGCAAATCCTCCTGTCCTGCACAAAACAAAGCCCTTGGGTTACTCTCACATTTTAATAGTTACAGACTTTTCTGATTTTCCTTGGATAAATCCTTGTTGTAGCTTACTTTTCACAATTTTAACATTTGTCTTCCATTTCAGCTGGGGTCATCTTTACATGAAGAGAGGTGTTGAAAAGGTTAGGTTCTTGGAAAGGTAACCTTGCTCCTGATTCCTATTTCCAGGACTATTTGGTGACCCACCTTTTGTGGTCCTGGCCTGGTTGCCCTTAACAGTGGATCCCAAGGTAGCACAGTTGCTTGAAAAAGCACTATTCCCCCACTTCTCCAGTGATTTGTACAGAGTGATTTCAGATATACTTCATCATTTACTCTGTTTTAAATCTTTTTTTTCTTTTGTTTCTTTCTTTTTAAAATCTTTTTCTTTTTCTTCTGTTTCTTTCTTTTTTGTCTTTTTGAGACAGGGTTTCACTATGCAGTTCAGGTCAGCCTTGAACTCATTGTGTAGCCCAGGCTGGCCTCAAACTCACAGCAATCCTCTTGCCTCAGCTTCCCAAGTGCTAAAACACATCTAGCTGTTTTAAATCTTCATTGTGAAAAGTTTCAGACACGGATTATGAGAATAGTTTTAACATCATATGTTCATCCAATCATTAAATTTTGCTATATTTAGTTCTTTTTTATTGCTGCTTTATACTTTGAATTAAGATATCATGACTTTTCACCAAAGCATTATTAATTAGGATGTTTCCAAAATATCCAGTATATTGTTAACACTCCTAAAGATTAGTAATTTTCCAATATTTTCTAGTACTCAGCCTATCTTCAAATTTGCTTTATGTTCCTCATTATTTTTATAGATGGGTTGTATAAACCAAAGCATAATCAAAGACCATGTCTTTTTAAGACTCTTTTAATCTAAAAGAATACTAATTCTTTTAAAATTTTTAATAACTCTTGATTGTTGGTGAGACCAATTGAGTAGTCCTTTAGAATACCTCTCCTTCTAGACCTGACTGAATGCTTTCCTGTGGTGATGGTTAATTTGTTCTTCTATCTCCCTTACCTCCTACAAGCTGGAATTTAGATGAAAAGCCTTGAATAGATTGGTTAAATTCATTTGTCAAGAAAACTTCAAGTTTGGTACATTGTACTTTATATTGCATCCTATCAGGAAATGAGGAAATTTTTACAATTCTGGAGGAAAAAACATTGCTTTTTTTAGCATCTTGTGAATAACAATTGTGCCAAGTATTTGTATATTGTATATTGTATCAAGTATTTATTTGTATGAATGTTCTTCTACAGCTAACTTCTTAACAGGCTACACTGGTCTTGTTTATCTTTTACCACTAAAAACTAATAAAGTTCTTGGTAGAGACTAACAACTTTATAAATTTGTATCAAGCAGGTACTGAAATAACAGGCTGAGAGAGAAGATACCTGATTTGTTAAGAGTCTAGCGGCTTGGGAGGGCTCAGGTCATTTAACTCTGTTGCTCCATCTCTACAACTTGCAGGTATAGTAAAGTTTTTTACACACCTATTAGTTTATCACTTAGTTTGTAGATATTGGTAACCAAAATTATTTGGGAGCAAAAGATATTTCTTCTTCATATTTCGTTCATGCAGTGCTTTGTGCCAAATGAACTTTTCACAAATAATGGTTGATTTATAAGAAATCTTTCTTCTTAATATAAAAGTCACTCTACCTCTGTTTGGGCATAAGTAATAAATGTATCCAGTAAACCCAATGGAGCTTGAGAAGACTGAACTCTGTGGGACAGGAAAATATTAACCACATGAGCCCTGATAAGGGGGAAAAACTAAACCAATGCCATTTTGTATTCTAGTGCCCATTTTAAAGCTTAAGTTTCTGTTTCCTTAAATTTGTTTCTTGTAAATTTTGTCTTAGTTACCTAACCCGATTCCACCCCATACTGTTGTAAGACTGCTTGTCCCCTATGTAAAATGTCAAACACCTTTGTTCTTTTGTCACAAGCTAAGCCCATGCTTTGTAGTATTTCTGTAGCTTTGCTAAATCATGTCAGCAACCCCCTGACCTGGAACTAGACCCAGGGCTAGACCTGGAACTAGACTGTATAACTATTCTCCTCTCCTGCCCTTTGGTGTTGGTGCTGGGTCATGCACTGGGTGCCCACCGCTGGCCCCTAATAAACTTGCTTGTCTCTGCATCCGGCCTCCACGGGTGACTCCATTACATAAGTGAATTTGCCACAACAGCACTAACTGATTGCAGAAGGAATCTGGAGAAGTGGAGAACTTGTTGTGCAAGGGCCCTGTGATGGACAAGATCTGATATACTCAAAGACAGCAGCAAACAGAAGCTCCCCAGTGTGATGTTACTTAACCTCTTCAGTAGCTTGAAGTTGAAATCTTGGAGACTGTTCGGCATAATGTAATCACCCTCCAAATGAAGAAATATTCAAAACACATAGAGTTCTCCCATACGTGTAGTAGAGCTGGTAGTCTTCTCAAACTTCAGTCTTCTCACTTTTAGAACACACATTTATTCTCAGTGTCAGACTGACTTTCTTTTTACTATACTTGAGCTCTTTGATAATATCTATTATTTATGTATTCAGTCACGCACATGTACTCAATTTTTGGACTCTTCATTTTCTCGGAGATTCCTATCAGTGTGGCACCAAGTCATTGAAAAACAAAAAGGACCACCGCAGAAAGACTAGAACTCAAGAATATTTACAAGCTTTAAAATCTATTTTGTGACCATGGTATAATTCTCCTAAGTAGAACAAGTGGAAAAAGTAAATGAGGGCTCATACTCCTTCTGTCTAGATGTAAAAAGCCACAAGGTTACAGACTGAACAATGGGACCATTAGCAGAAGAAGGTTCCATACCCGCTGATACACTGTTCCAGGGCATGGCTGTCACACTCCAACAGCCCCAAGAGGAGCTGTAAGCACCTGGGGGAAATGGTGCCAATAAACTAGGGTACAAAGTTGTCATTTAGAGTGTTCGTCCTTTGGAGAAAACCCCTGGGAATTATAGTCCATACAATGCCCAACATCACATCACAATAGCAGCAGGAGCACAGGTTAAAAATGTAGCTCTTTAATTCTGTATGAATGAACTTTGAATCTACTCCCAACTTTTATAACAAGTAAATAAACAAGAAATACGTGAAGGTGAAACATATCATCACACTGCCCTTCTGGATAAGCTGTGTTAATCATTTGCCTAATATCACTTCAGATTTGAAAAGAAGTACACTTAGTAAAATCTTTTGGTGTCTAGACTATGAATGGAGCTGCCCGTTTTTCTCTGTTTTATTTATATTCATAAAATAAACAGAGGGATACTAACTTTCTCTTGCTTTGTAACAGATTACTATAAACTTAACAGCATACAGCAATACTAGTTTGTAAGTTCACTATTCTGTACATGGCTTGACCTCACGCATCTGAAGTCAAAGTGTTTGTTGGGGCTGCTTTTCTTGTCTAACACTTGTGATCCTCTCCAAGCTTCTCAAGTATGAGGCGGAACTCAGCTCCTTGAAGCCATGTTGAGGTCCTTGTTCTCTTGCTGCCCTTCAGCCCAAGCCTTCTCTCAGCTCTTGATGCTGTCCATTCTTTTCACTTGCTTCTTCAAAGCCAGAGGTAGAGAATCGACCTCACATCTACTCTTTCTCTCACTACTGATCTCTTCCAGTAAATCCCAGTCACATGTACGGCATCACCTGACAAATTTGGACTCCCAAGGACAATTTCCTCCTCTCCAAGTCAACTAATTCACACCTTAGTTACATTGTTAAAATCTCCTCACAATGGCACCTAGATTATCTTTGATTCAATAGCTGGAGAAGGTATATGCACACAAGTTGGTGGGGGTCTTGGGGGTCATCTTAGAATTCTGCCTTCCATCACTACAAACGTACATTCATGAAACTGACAGAAACCTGTACACTTCAAAGAAAGCACATGAAAGTAGGGATGGTGGAGTGTGCCTGTAATCCCAGCACTTATGAGAATGAGACAGAAGGATCACCCCAAATTTGAGGTCAGCCTGGACTGCATAGTGAGACCTTGTCTCAAGAAACAAAACAAAAAAGCATGTGAGTGTCAAATCTCATTCTTTTAATTTTTCTAGTCAGTGGTAATGGGGAACTATTCTATGCTAGCTATAGAATAAAAATAAGACTAAAGGATATTTTCCTCAAGTAATAATTTCAGGAATACAAAGGAAACTCTTGGAAATTAAAATGGGGAAAAAACTGAAAGTAATCCCCTATCATGAGCTAACTGGCCCTCAGTATTCTTTTAAAGAAAGAGGAAATACAGAAGATCCCTATTCTGAGCAATACAACTTTTATCTCCAGAAAATCCCACTTATCATGTCCACTACATCTTCATTGTTTTAATTTTCTGTTTTGAGAAGGATGTATTCATAGAATTTTTTTTCTCAAACGTTGTAAAAGAAAATTGGTAATCATTAAATGAGTTTTGTGACTTTATTTTCTGCAGTCCTACAGATTAAATGAGACACACTTGAAGAATATAGAGAGCAGTATGAATTGTTAACCATCTGCATTGCTCTGTGATTTTCACCTATGTGAGTTCAAAAACGAGATAAGCAAAGACATTGTGACATCCCCACCACAAGGACGCTCCTTTCCCTAGAAAGAAGCCTTCCCAGAAGGGCAGCCTCTCTGGTTGCTCCATCTTTGGCCACATATCCTGTATCATTTTATCTACATCTTCAAAGTTTTCCTCTTTTAGGATTGTTTTTCTGCTTTCTTTTAGCTATGTTATCATTATACAAATGTAGATACATGTGGCTATTAGGAAAATGCTCATTTATGGATCAGCTACATTTTAATAAGTCTTCATAAGAACAGTTTTTTGAAGTTCCAAGTGTACTATCTGATAGAAAAAGAAATTGTTGTGCAGCTTACAGACAACCTACAAATCTACCTATCTCCTCAGTCAGCTTTAACAAAGTGCTAGATGTATTCCAGGGAGACAGTGTCTGCAAA